GGATGTGCCGATGCTCAAGTCGGTCAGTATCAACATGCCCTTCCGACACACGGAAGATGCCGTTCGATTGGATTCATTCGGCTTCCTTGGTGCGCCCGAACTCTCCTCCTTCAGCTTTGAAGGAGGCAGTTTAAGCCCCTTGGAATTACCGCTTCACTGGGGTGGTTTAATAAACCTTTCGATCACAACAGCATGGAGTGCTCAAGGTCCAGTGACGAGCGAAACGGCCCTGCAGTTGCTCTCCCGCTGTCCTCAGCTGCGGACTTGTCGCCTGTTCATTGATGACCCTGACGATATCGTCAGCAGCGGGCTCGAAAACCCCATTCTCGAACTCTCGTTTCTTCATACATTGGATCTAGCCTGTGGCACCGTTCAGGCCGTCTGCCGCCTGTTCGGCTCGGTCTCTTTTCCACAATTGCGGAACTTAAAACTTCGCGGAGTGTCGGATAACGAAAATATGCCCTATGTCCGTTTTCTCGCCACTGCTCCGCTCATCGAAAGGCTCGAGATTATTAATGGATGGTTGTCAAAACTGTTTCTCGCTAGTTTCCTTCGCGACCTACCGCCTACCCTTCGCGAACTCAACATCAGCATAGAGAGTTTCGATGACGAGATTTTAGAATCCTTCAGTCCATCTGTCGACTTGCCCACTCCATGTTGCCCGGGCCTTCAGGTGTTGGAGATCCAATACTACTGCGCCATTTCCGACAAAGCACTCCTACGCTTCCTTAAATCAAGGACTCTGAAGCGCGTTGTAATCCGCTTTGACCGGGCCATGGAGCTCGATATCCTCCCGCAACTGCAGTCATTGATGCAGAATGGCCTTCATCTCGCACTCACATATACTCCGCCTGTGCAATCTTTTTCTCCTTGGGAGGGTCTACCAGATGCGCCGAACTTCTATCTCGCTCCCTCAGTGCCTACCCCTTATCCCGCATCCACATAAAGGTACATTCAACGAATCTTGTGTTCAGAACTGATTGTCGTTGCAGGGCTTTTCACTGGAATTATCTTTTCTTTGTTTTCATTTCGTACCAAACACGTTGTCTGGTTGTAGTTTTATGCACAATACTGATGTCTTAACATTCGTGTGGGGTCGTCACAGATTATCATACCTATTGCCATCCTTGTGAAGACACCGCACGCGGAGATGCGCATCAACATTAGCCCAGAAGAGCTTTGCCTCGTGAGGGTGGGCTCTCAGGTTCTCATTGTAACGCTGAAAAGGGGGAATGCAAACCGTACACACCGGACGCAATTCGCTGGAAACTCTCTAATCCAATATTCAATGGGAGTCCCCCGCAGCTTTAAAACAGGCGGTATTCCAACTTGACATAACAGTGAGTTAGAGAGCCCCAGGCGCTTCAAGACGCGGAAATCTCACAAGCCGAACGCCGTATGGCTGAGCGCCGAGCCGCGAAAGCGCGGACTACACGTGAGGATGACCTGGCACCGCGACGCACGCCCGCGTCCTCCAGCGACGCGCAGGCGAGCAGGAAGCTCGCCGCCGTGCCCTCACACCCACACCCAGGTATGCGCGTTCGCCTCCTCACACTGAGGCCGCCCCCGCTCCACGTCCCGCGTCCTCGCACCGAGGCGAGGGACGCCCCGCCCCCGCTTCCCATCCTCAGTGCCGAGCCTCGAAACTGCGGCACGCGCCGCCAACCAGACGTGGATTCGGATTCGCAGCGCCAGATCGCACGGAACCTAGGCAGCGCGCGAGCACGACGACCCAACCTGGGACATGCGCCGCCGCGAGCGGCCCTGGACGCGCTTGACCACCTTCGTGCCCAAACCAGCGGCACAGGTGGAAAGACATCAATAATGTCTCGCCACTGGACCCAGACTGCGGCGTCATGGACATCACCCCCACTACACTCGCTCGCGCGCTGCCTTACACGCCCCCGGCGCCGACGGCTTGAAGGACATCCCGCATCTCCACGAGCCCACACGCGCCGACATGAAGGCGCTTGACACCCCGCAAGTCCACGCACCGCTGGGGATCTCTCCCTTCTCCGTCCACGCGCATCTCCGCCCGCCCGCGCTCGTAAACGCCGCCCACCTCCGCATTTCCACCACATCCGCCGACACCCGCAACCCGGGGTCAAGCCTGGGGTAGCGGGTCGCCTCCGCGCGCACCCTCAAGCTCCGCCCCCGCCCCGCAAGCGCACTCTCCCGCTGCAGCTCCGCTCCGTAGCATGAGGACTCGCCCCCCGCAAGCGCGTTCTCCAGCTCCGCTCGCCCACCCCCTCTCGCTCACCCCTCGCTCACGAACACGGGCTCGCCCCGCCCTTCCCTTTCCCGGCGCGCGCACGCCTTAGACTGGAATGACGACACCACATTAACCTTCACCTCACTGGCACGCGCCTCTCGATCCGCAGAATCTCCGTCCCCTGTAAGGTAGGTGTGTGGGGCTGCGCATGCAATCGAAAAAGAAAACAGGGGACGTCTCACCGTGCGCGCGCGTCCTCCTCATCTTCATTCATTGACATTCAGAGTCCCAAAGCGCCACCTCTTCATTGGGTCCTCGGAGATCTCGCACGGGGTCGCTGGAGAGCTTGAGCCGCCGGTGGATCTTGAGCGCAGGCCGAGGTCGGAGGTGTCCTGCGCGTCTCGAGCCCCGTCGCGCCGTCCTTGAGCGCCCCAGGCACATGCGCCATCTCGAGCACACGCTGCCTCCGTGTCGTACACGCGCGGTGCCCTCCGCCCGCATGGGGTGGGAGAGTCGAATCTTGCGCGGGCGGGTGGAGGGCGCGGGGCGACTCGTACGCGCAGGGCGACTCGTACGCACCGTGCAGAGCGACACGCGCGCGCGCATCCTGTCCGCGTGCATCCTGTCCGCGTGCATCCCGCCATTCGGAAGCGCCGCGCGCGGGGGCTCTCCTCCCGCGTGCATCCCTCTCCTACGCCATCCTGCGCGCGCCCTCCTACACGACAGTGCCGGCGTGGGCGGGAGATTGAGACGCAAGGGGCGCTGAAGCTGTAGGGCGACGGGCGACGTATACGCGCGCATTCCCGCCGCACCGCACCCCACCCTGCGGGTAGCGTCGCAAGCAAGACGGTGTCGTCCGCGGTGGCGCTGAAGCTGAAAGACACCCGGGCGGACGGTACTCGACGCTGGCGGTAGGGACATTCGAGCTGGCGGTAGGGACATTCGCGGCGGCAGTGAAGCGTGCGCGGGCAGACGTGTGCTGCTCCTGCGTGTGCGTCTACGTTCAGCCTCCCGCGTAATATGCGCGCGCCTCCTTCGCCTACGTGGGGAGGGGTATAATACGTTCGCAATTGCCTTAACAGACGTCCAGCGGGGAGGGACGGCGTGGAGAGAGCACCACGGGAAGGATGCGGGATATGGTGCGCATTAGTGGGGGCGTGGTGGTGCTGCAGACGGGGTACGGGGGCGGCGCTGCGATATCTCCGCCACGAGGACGCGGACGCGGACGTGGGCTCGTGCGCGGGGGACTGAGGGGAATTAAAGGCATGGACAGGACGGCAAGAAGGGAACGCAGGCTGTGGAAGAGATAAGACATACTGTAATCGGCGAATCACACGTGGACACGAAGGTGAAGGGAAAGCAAGGGTGAGGTTAGAAAGTAAGGGGAGCACCGCAGGGACAGGAAGGGGCAAAGGAACGCTCGGGGAGGGCAGGGGAGAACATACAGGAAGGGAAGGGAAGAAAGACACACCGAGTAAAAGTAACAGCTCGCAAAGACAAGTTCATGAGAGTGTCGCCCATGCACTCCCTTGAGCTGGAAGCTGTCCATGTGCCGATGTCCGTGTCCATGACTGGAAAGGCTCACGATGCGTCTTCCCGTCCGCGACCTGCACGTCACTTGGGCTGGGGTGGCTGAACGAGCAGAGCCCGGGGCGCTTGGCGCGTCCTTCTTATCCTTGTGCCCTTGTCGAGCTGAAGCTGAGCGCGGCATCTGTGGTGGTTGCTGACGACTTCGTTGCCGCCGTACACCTCAGATGAAGCTTGGACGCCGCATGAAACGACGAGCGTTAGGGGGTAGCGTTGGCATCAAGTGCCACCCACAAAACATCAGTAGCGACTGGGGGTGCGAAGGAGGATTTGCGGGGAGCGACAGTTTCATAAACGGTGACTCGGAGGTGGTGGTGGTTTGTTATCGAAAGGCGCGCGTTCACGTGCGGCTTTACTTTCTTGTCATCTTCTGCAATGCCTCCATCGCGGTTTGTCCACCGGTCGACTCGAGCCCATAATGCAGTCTGGGCAATTTTTTGGGGCATCCTCAAGGCATCCTGCCCTCCTTGGCCCGTCTTCAATGCGTGTCAACGCGTGCTGTATCTCGGACTCTCGTCCTCCAAGTTGCCCGAACTGCAAGTCTGGCTGCTCGAAACCTAGCTGTCCGAATGCCGGGGCTGATTTCAATTTTCGTCCTTGAGCCTCGCAAATACGACAACGGTGATTTGAAGTGAGGCGTTCCTCCCCAGCACTTTGGTTCGAACTTCATGTCTGGTCGGCCTTCTGCGCGTGTAACTTTCAAATTTGCGACCGCCCGCGCCCATGTCGTATTTTTCTGCATGCCGCGTTGCGTTCCATTCCTCGCATCGTCGACGCACTGGATCCTCAATATCATTACAGAACAATCCAAATCCTCGAAAGATGAGTTTGTGCACTGCACGATTGGTATCCGGGTTCTCGAGCCACCCGGCGGATGCAAGTCAAGTTGTGAACCGTATGTTCCATCTACTCCCTGCTGGACCTGCTTTATTCGAGAAATCCTCGCGCTTGTGTCCTCACAGAGTTCGCACCCGCGGCCGAGCTCAATTATCACTCCACTTCCAACTCTGTCGCAATTATGCAAGCACGTAAAGTGCAGCCAAATTCTTCAGCCATACATCCATGTAGTGTGTTTTGCACAATAAATACCCCCCCCCCCCCCCCCCCCCCCCCCCGCCGCCGCGGCCCCTCTTTTTTTTTGCTTAGTGTTCGCAGAACTGATTCATGTGAATGTGATATGTCTAAGGGATGCAAAGAGAACGGCCTAGTGGTGTAATGGAAACATACCTGTTTTGTGTACCCAAGTCTGCCAGTGATTGTGGCAGGAGATCCTTGTTCGATTCAAGGCTGGGCCATACTATTTCCGGAGAATCTATTTTTTTTTCTTTCTTTGCGCCGGAAATCATGTACGTAAGCAATCCGGAGGAGGCGAGAATAATGGCTTGGTGGTTTAATGGTCACATACCTACTCTATATAAGGACTAGAGAATATTATGCAATGGGAATTCCTTGTTCGACTCAAGGCTGGGCTATATATTTCTAGCAGATACCGGTTTTTTCTTTTATATTTTCCAAAAAAGACATAGATATATTTTGAACTCGAAGGAGGGATGCAGCGGCCTGGTGGTGTAATGGGAACACCCCTGCTTCATTTGGATGTATTATCTCGTTGGGTAGGAGCTCCTTGTTCGATTCAAGGTCAGGCCATTCGAATTAGTAATGCCTTTTGATTTATTTATTCTTCCGTCAGACGTGAAGGTTTTCGTTCCCATGGGCTCAGTTCCTTTTGCACATAATACACCGTCTCGTAAATTCCACTTGCCGGAAACTCAAGAAGTTGAAACGAGGTCGGGCACGTGCTCTGGAGTGCGGCAATCCGGCAACGCCCGGCTCTCTCTGAGAGACTCTCTCTCTCTCGAGATCTCTCTCTTGCCTTTTCGCTTCCACCGCTCGTTTTTCAATTCTGGCTGCGGCAAACGTATCTGGTTCTTTCCTAAGCTCTAGGTGTCTACTTCCAGCTGCTCATACTCAAATGCAAGACATCAACGCGAGTTTTCACCAGACGCTGCCTCGCGCTGCCGCCTGCTGAATTGCGCGGCTTCGCGCTCGCACACAGCAGTCTGGAGGCGAAGCGCTGCCTGTTATCGAGCTTTGATTGTACTGCCGCCAAAACATTCAAGCAAAGCAGCAAGCTTACTGGGTCAAGAATTGTATTATACGCTTGGCCCGAATTGTCTTTCTCGTGGATCTGCGCGATTCAAGCGGTGGCCCTCCCTCTTTTCGGCCCCGCTATGTCCATGCAACATAATGCAATCAGGAGTCACTTCTAAGACTCTGCAGACAGTGGCTCAAGCTGCTCTCATCAAATATCATTTGCGAACTCCTTATAATTGCGTCGCGGACTGCACTCCATGTTTCGAGGGCCGGGAAATCGCCAGGTCGTCGCGGCTCTCCTTTTTCAAAAAAAGTTTCCCCGCACCCCACCTCAAGCGTGTCGAACGCAGCTACGGTTCGTTCAAATTGCCCAGGCCTGCAGGCGCTGGAGATAAACTACTGCTGTTCCCTTTCTGACGAGGCGCATCAAGTCGAGATCGCCGAAGCGGCTTGTGATACGCTTTGCGCGGGACATGGTGCTCGACATTAAACCGGAACTGCAGTTATTGTTGCAGAGTGGCCTTCATGTCGAGCTCACGTACCCACCGTAACACTGCCGGCCAGGCACGTACCAGGGCGCGTACGGTACCTGGCCATGACAATATCAATTAACTTCTATGTTTTCTTACACAAAGGCCCGTTGATCTTGACATGCCCAGGTACGTGCCCGCTGTCGGTATCGACGCCATTTATCAAAACTTTGCCCGCCGACTCATTCACCGGCTTGACACAGAAGCGTACCCAAATTTAGAGGGCGATTTTCCCGGGACGCCACACGACTTTACGCGACCATGCGCGATCACGGCACTGCGCATCGCCTCGACGATTGTCAAGTCATATATAGAAGGATCGCTCCTTGGTCTTTCCGCCACTAAGAACCGTTCATCTCTATTGTCCGCGCCAGGATGAAGCGTCTTCTACGCCGCATCTCCCACCATAACATAAAAAACCACCATTCTGACGATGATCAAGACCCTGTTCCTCCTGTGCCGACTCTGACTCGCGGTGCTCTAAATGGGGAAGATTCGCCATCTATCCGGGAACAGATGCGTCGTGGAATGACTCTGCCCGTGCGTCTTGTATCGCCGTCCAATTTCTCAGATGAGGCTGCAGTTTCGAAGGCCAACGGACAGCCACCAAGCGGGACCGCGGGCCCCACCGGAAACACTCAACCGGGGCCAATAACCGCGACCGCTACGATAACCGCAGTTTCCACGGAGGAAAAGGAAAAGATGTGGAAAGTAGTCAGCAATCCAAATGGCGACGTCTCCAAGGCCGAAAAGTTGTTGAATAAAGTCGAGAATGGTGCAGGTGCGTTCGTTGCTATCAGTGTTGTCGGCCTTGCCCTCTAATTAATCCATGTACGCAGGGGCAGCTGTGTCCGCGTCGACTGGCATCGTTGCGACTATCAAAACTATTGCCGCAAATGAAGAGGTGCAAGAATTCGGAAGAGCCGTCTTCAGTGGGGTACCGGCGCTCATGAGTGCGCTCGAGAGGCTTTCAAAGGTCCACCCATTCGTGGAAGGTGCGCGGGAAATTCTGGTAGTCATCGGAGCAGCGGCTCACAACGCATATATCTCTCCAGCTGCATTCTTACCGTTCAAGTTTGCGTACAATCAGGAGATGAAGCGGCACGATAACGAGAAGTACTTAAATAAATTGTTTCTCAATACGACATACTAATCTCTTCCAAAGAAGCAGGCTAGCTCTGTTCGAGACAATCAAGGGTGTCATGTGCATAATAGTCGAGTAAGTTCTTCTAACTTGGGGATTGTGGCAGCTTCACGTTGTGCAGGATGAAGGGATTGGAAATCACTCGGGACGATAAACGGGTGATGCCTGGCGGACAGCCTTTAGTGTCGCGGCTTGAGGAACTCGGACAGCAGATGGACAAGGACATTACAGAATGCTACAACAGTGCGTACTCATTTCCTCCCGAACTTGAGTCAGAAATCTTACAAGGGGGTGTATTCTTAAGCCCTGGATGCGATGCAGAAACAATCTCTAGTTGTCAAGTTCTGCAAGGCGTCGGGGTGGAACGACAAGCTTGCAGGCTTCAAGGTCAGGTTCAAAACCCGACGCGAAGAGCTTCAGCTCGCGCTTACCCTCAATATCGCGACGACGATCCAAGACATGAGTACTAGGTAAGTCGCCAGTGTCTATTCGCGACCCCATCGGATTTATTACGTCTTACACAGGCTAAAAGAGTGGGTTTTGTCTATTCGCACGTTCAGCGCCTTGATTTTTTTCAAGGATCCAAGACCAAAATAAAAAGATGCACGACGATATCATGAAGGAGTTCCAATCCTTCAAGACACCGCAAGACCGGAGGATCGAGGCGTTCTTTGCCGCACACGGAGGCGTTGACGAAACCAACGTGAACAAAGTCATGATGGACAACGACAAATGTACCATGCTCCTCGAGCTCCAGGACGATCTGAGAACCGCAAACACACACAACATCCAATGCACCTACGCTGCTGGCCAGATGGACGGAGCAGGACGGCAAGAGCAGCTCAGACAGGACTTGGTAGCGCTACGCAAGGAATTTCGGTGTGATATCAACTCGGTGATAGAAGAAAATATGGAGAGATTTTTGAAACGCTTGAATTGGAGTCTGGATTTGCTCAAAGAGGATCTCAAGAACAATATTCATAAGGAGGGGGATCGTGTGATCAATTTTTTGAAGGGCGGACCGCATCTTCGGCTGAAAGACAAGGTGCGAATCTCGCCTTCAGCTCAATTCAACTTACAGAGATGCGTGACGCCCTGGCAGATTATGCGCCAAGTTTGGAAGGATCAGGTACGCTGTGCCCATATATCTTTTCACTGTTGTGAACCACTCCTCAGGGTTGGCGAGGCAGCGCCAAAACACGCACACTGGTTTTGGCCCTCCGCGACTATTTGGTCGAGCGCAACGAACACGCGGACATTGATCTTCCTCCTCCATCTGCTATCCCCCCTTCTGAACCTGTACCACATCAAGAGGAGGTTCAAGACCCTGAAACCGCCATCGGTGTTCCGCTCCCCGACGATTGGGCGCTCGATTATCTGCAGGTCGGACGGCTCCGAAATCTTCAGCGTAAGATCAAGTTTGATCACTGTCAAGCTTCTTCTCATCCGGTACCACAGAGGTCCTGGACTTAGACACATCCGGATTCAGCACGATTTCTGAGGTCAATGCATTCACGCAGAGTCGTCCTGATGCTTGGAGGTATGAGTCTGTGCTGGCGTGAAGCTCATGGGCTGACCCTGTCCAGCTTGCCACGCTGGATTTCCTACTGGGTTGTAGGATGGCAGATATACGCCACAAGATACTGCATAGAAATCGAAGACATCTTTGCCGAAATGCGCCTCATCCGAGACAAAGTAGCGATTCAGATGCCCGGGAATAAGCGATACATCAACAACTACATAACGGAGACGTGGCCGTTTGTTATCGGACTGACAAGCGCTATTGATCGTTTTGAGGGAACGGAGTGGCTGGCGGACCAGTTCAAGGGATATATCGATGCGCAAGAAACTGCCCTTCGATCACGGTTGGAAACAATCCACTACGACATTGACGTGCTGGATACAGTGCAAGAGATCCTCAGAGGGAAGCCGATTGAACGCGTATGAGTCCCTTTTTCTTTCGGCATCGAACTGATCGCCATTTCATTTCAGTCCATTTTCATGCTCATCGCCATTATTATGAGGCACCATCTTTTAAAAATGCATTTGTGCTTGACCACGGAAATGAATGACGAGGAGTTCTATGACGACAGCTACACTGTGAAGTTCGTCGTCGAAGCCGCATGGCTAAGGTACAAAGATCTCGTTGGTTTGTCTCGTCCCTCACTACCACCATCTCGCTCAGATTCTCATGCGCCCTTCTTCAGATTTTTACAAAAATCAGCAAATCACAGATATGAAACAAAACTTTGACTGGTTCTCGTGTGGATTAGTTGAGTCAGGCGTATGTGGGGTTTTGATATATCATTTGTTGGGCAGGGCCCCAATGTCCATGATATATCAACCCCTACAGTTGTAGAGGTGCAATGATATATCACCTGTAGACTCACCCATTTTGGTTCCCCCGTCCGCGTGTCACCGCGCTCGTTGGGGCCGTCGCCCCGGCGGCGTCGCATGCGCCCTTTTGATGCCGCATCAACAACGCATCATTCGATCCAAAAGAGGTCATATTTGCACCTGTTATATCTCGATGCCCTTCCCTCCTCCCACCACGATTCCGCTTGCCAGGCTGCTTCCTCCCCTGGCCACCGCTACACCAGAATGCTGTCCTATGCATCACCTGCTGCCTGAACTGCCTTGCTCCGCCCTTACCACGGCCCCCCGATCATGGCCTACCAGGTAGCGAATCGCGATCGATTGCGCTTGCCGCCGGCTCCAGCTTCCTCCCTCGGCTTCCGCCATTCTTTCTGCTACTCCTGGGCTGGTAATCTGGTGCTCTAGACCCCACAGCCATTAGCTTCCTGTACCGCTCACACCGCCTACTGTACCGCTCAGCTCGGGCCATTGCCCGTGCGCCCGCTGCAATCCGCATCCCTGCG